TTTGCCAAAGGTTTTTTCAATGTCTCTTGAGATAATTCTGTGGTTTTGTGTTTCTAAGTTCACTTATGTGGTTTATTGCATGTAGTGACTTGTGTGTGTGTGTTGAATTGTCCCTGAATCTCACAAATTGGTTATGGTAGATAATCTCTTTTGATGTATGTCTGTACTCGGCTTGCAAGTATTTTATTGAGTATTTTTGAGTCTATGTTTATCAGATATATGATGATTTCTTTTTTGTTGTTGTGTCTTTACCTGGTTTGGGCATCAGAGTGATACTGGCTTCATAGATGGGGTTTCTAACAGTGAGTTGATAATCAGTGAGTATTTCATTTCAAATATGCAAGATGAATAACTCCAAGAGACCTGCTTTGCAGCGTTGTGAGCTCTGTGTGTGATACAGTGAAACATACTGTACATTTAAAAATTGATTGTGCATGTAGATCGTGTATCGCATGGTTTTACCACAGAATAGTAAACACAGACAATATGGAATGAAATATGGTGCATAATATATTAAGAATTTGTGAAGGCTGTATACGTTTTAGGAGACAGCTCAAAGTGACCAGGAAGAACAAAGTAGCCCCAGAGTGTGGAGTGCACTGTAGAATGAAGCATGATTATAAAGGTGCATGAAAGCATTACATTTTTAATGAACATGCTCTCCTAAGTGACTTAGAGGTAGAGATGAAGACCTTGGCACAGAATTTAAGCTGAAGCAAGATTTTCACACAAGATGGCATGAGTTCTGCATGCCAGGAAGAGAGTGAAAGTAAGAACTCTGTATTCACTCAAGGGAATTAACAAGGTTTGAACAAGAATTTGATAAATAACAGAATTTTGGGGCTTAGCCTAATGGCTTTTTAGCACAAATAAGAATAGAGTTTACGTAAGTTGTGTGGATATTTGTCTCTTGGGGAAATCGATCAACAGCAGCAGGGCTGGCAGCAGCTGGACACACAGCAGCTGGGCTGGCCACAGGACTCACTGCAGCAGCTGGACACACAGCGGCTGGGCTAGAAGCAGGGCTCACTGCAGCAGCTGCTCACACAAGTTGGTTTAGAACATGTGGTCTTATAGCAAGTGGTTTCATAGTACGTTGATTGACAGCAGGACAGGCAGCAGGATGTGATGCAGCAGGGCAGCTGGCAGCAGCTGGTGTCATCTGTTGGTTTGCAGCAGGTGGTCTTGTAACATGTAGTTTCACAGGAAGTTGGTTGGCAGCAGGGCTGATAGAAGCTGCAGATGGTATTAATTTGGCCACAGCAGCTGGACCCACAGCAGCTGGGCTGGCAGCAGCTGGTCGGTCACACAGGATGGCTTACAGCAGGTGGTCCTGCAGCAGGGGGTTTCACAGCAGCTGGGCTGGCAGCAAGGGGAGCAGCAGAAGTTGGTCATGGTTTCAGGTGTGGAGGGTGGTGTTCTGTTTACAGGTGAGTTTTCTAGAATACCATCCCTTCATTTTAGTTGGGTCTTTTATACATCAGTTCACCTAGGTTTGGACCAATCACAGTTTTCCCTGTTTGTTACATTATTTTCCATATTTAAAGTTTGTTTATCAAGGAAGAAGCTGCTCCTTAATAGGAATCTTTTTTTTTTTAAAAGGACTTAATCTGTTTCTTATTTGGGAATAACTCCTGGGAAATTTTTCAGATGAAAGGAGGGAGTCACACTATCAGCTTCATCACAGTTCTGGACTTCGTGCAGGATGTATTTGCTCCTTGGGGAAGAGAGCGTTGGGAGAGTTTTGCTTCTATGGCCTTCTTCCTTAGTTTGGACTTCGATTAGGAAGTAGCTATGGATAGCGATGAGATGGCTTTATGCTCATATCAATTAGCTGAATGTGTAGCTCCTTGTCTATTCATCCAGAAAAAAATGAATCTTCAGATGAGTCAGGCATCTCTGTTGGTACCAGCTCTATCCCTGTGTCCCAGATGTGTCAAATGCATTTGGGAAGATGACGTTTGGTGGCTGTGTATCTGTGCATTGGTTTCTCAGTACTCTATCCGTCACCATTGGTCTACCTGTCTCTCTTTATTCCTATACAGATGGTTTGTGCCACTTTTGTTCTGTAATGTATTTTGAGGCCATGCATTTTGAAACCTCTAATAGTGTTTTGTTCTGTGTAGGATTGCTTTGAATATGTGTAGTCATTTGTATTTCACATAAAGTATTTAACTTTTTTTTTTTTGAGTTTTGTGAAGAATGTTACTGGAATTTTTGTGGGAATAGGGATCAGTCTACAAATAATTTTTTAACATTACGGTCATTTTCAAACTATTTACTTGCCAACAAGACGTGTGGAAGGTTTTTGCATCATTTGATATCTCCTTTCATTTTGTTTTTCAGCATGTTAGTCTTCATTGCCCTGGTCTTTCACATCCTTTGTGTGTGGGGAGCTATTGTGAAGGGAATGGTTTTCCTAATCTCCTTCACAGTGGGTTCATTATTGCTATGTAAGCTACTGATTTTTGTATGTTGGTTTTGTATTTTGCAAATTAAAAGTGCTTGCTAAACATGAAAGTTTTCTGGCAGAGTCCATGAAGCCTTTTAAGTATAGAATCATTAACCTGTGAACAGACGTAATTTTGCTTCCTCCTCCCATGTTGTTGTCCTTTCATATCTGTCTCTTGTCTTGTTGCTCTGACTAAGACTAAGCACAACACAGAACAAGAGTGGAGATAGTGGGGACCCTTGTCTCAGTCCAGGCTCTACAGGAAATATTCCCAGTACAATAGTAATTGGGAGAGTTTAGTGCCCCACTCTCATATTGTACCCCAAATCATAGATTATGAAAGTGAACCTCAGCAAAGAAACTTTAGTGTTGAATTCTACCATATGTCAACCGGACTTAATAGATATATACAGAATATTCTACCACACACATAAAGAATACTCATTCTTTTCACCAGCACACGGAATCTTTCCCAAAATTTATCACATCCTACATCCTAGGCCACAAAGCAAGCCTTAACAAGTACAAAAAAAGGACACAATTCCTTGTATCCTACCAGGCTGCAGTGGAATAAATGTAGAAATCAATAGTAAGAGCATGTACAAAAACTACATAAATTCTTAGAGACTGAAGAGATTGCTTTTGAGGAAACAAGTGGGTCATCGAAGAAATAGTGAAGAAATTAAAATTTCTAAGATGCAAATAAAAATCAATGGGTAGGAAAACATCTCCTCTGGGGAACAGTTTAAGCATTCAATAAAGTTATAGCTATAAGTTTTCCATACACAAAACCCCAAAGAAATCTCAAACAACCTAATGATGCACCTGAATACACTAGAAAAACATTAAACAACTAATCAAAAACTTAGTAGATGGGAAGAAATAATAAAAAGTAGGGCAGAAATTAATGAGACAGAGTCTAAAAGAACAATATTTAGATTCAGCTGACAAAGAGCTGATTCTTTAAAAGCTTAACCGGATGGACAAACCTATGGCCCAATTAATCAAAAGGAAAGAATGAGAATGTCAAAATGAATAAAATCAGAGAAGAAATGGAGATGTTACAGTGGACCCCAGAGAAATTTAGATCATTAGGAGATCCTGCAAAAATTATTTTCCCCAAAACTAGAACAGACCCATAATGAACAATGAGATTTATGCAGTAATTAAAGATCTTCTCACAAGAAATGTCTAGAACATAATCACTGCTTAATTCAATCAAATTTTATGAATCTGATAACAATGTTTCCAATTCTTTTATGAACTAAAAAGGGAAGAAACAGTACCACATTCATTCCATGAAGTCAGGGAAGAAGAGAGCAGGACAATTCTTTCCAGGGAATGGGGTAAGGGCCATGGGGATCTGGTAACCATTGGCTGTTAACTTCCAATTGTTCCAGAGATCTGATGGACAGCATTAGGTTCTCTCTCTCTCTCTCTCTCTCTCTCTCTCTCTCTCTCTCTCTCTCTCTCTCTCTAAGTGTGTGTGTTACAGTACTGTTCTCTAAGCCAAAGAACTGCCATTTTGGAGCATTCAGCAGTGGCCCTTGGTAAAAGATCTTCCCAGCTGGGCTTGGTTATTGTTTACATCCTTCACAGATAAGTATGTGTGTGTGAGGGGTCCAGGAGTCCCTCACATAAGTACCCAGCTAATCCCTACCACCAGTTTTATGTACTCTGCTCTAACTGAGGGTGGTCTTGGAGAGGGGACATAGAAGACTAGGGGTGGGACTCCATCCATGCAGCTATGGGAAAAGCCCTCATTTCTGCTAAGTAAAGTGCAGCCTTTTCAGGGAGGCACACCCATACTCCTGTAAGCAGTCCCTCAATTGTGCTTTGAAAGGAAACATGATAAACTCATTGGCTGCTCAGAGTCAACTTTGGTGGAATCCTTCTTTGGTTTGTTGATGGGACCTTAGGAAGAGAAGATGCTATTTATGTTTCCTGCTGGGAAGAAGTTTTAACAACAGTGTGTGTGTGTGTGTGTGTGTGTGTGTGTGTGTGTGTGTGAGAGAGAGAGAGAGAGAGAGAGAGAGAGAGAGAGAGGAAGAGAGAGAGAGAGAGCTTATTATATTGCACAATAAAAAGTCTTTTGAGCATGTGGAGCTATGACTTATCAAAGTGACTTATCAAAGTGTAATAATGACAGACAATATGGAATGAATAATAGTCCAGAATTTATTAAGTTTCCATACATTTTTGATAATTTTAATTAATGCATTTTTCTCATTTGTTTAGAGGGAAAGATAAAGATCTGGGTTCAGAAGAGAAGCAGAGGACTGGGCTCCATACAGAGAGAAAAGGAGAGAGAGAGTGAATGGACTTGCATTCCACCAAGGTGACTGACAGGCTTCCAAAGTGGTGATAGCCTCATAGTCAGATGTGAGCTTATACCCACATGGCAAGATTGGTGTGACAGAAGTACAGTTGATTGGGTATTGTTCAGTTGGAAAGTTGTTCAGTAAAGTTGGGGCTAGCAGCAGCTGGACTCACAACTGCAGGGCTGGAAGCACCTGCTGGTCACCTAAGTAGGTTAAAAGCAGGTGGTCTAGCAGCAGGTGGTTTCATAGCAGGTTGGGCAGCAGCTAGGCTGGCAGCAGCTGGACTCACAACAGCTGGGCTGGCAGCAGCTGGATTCACAACAGCTGGGCTGGCAGCAGGACTGGCAGCAGTTGGACTCACAGCAGCTTGGCTGGCAGCAGCTGGACTCACAGCAGCTGGGCTGGCAGCAGCTGGTCACACAGGTTGGCTTACAGCAGGTGGTCCTACAACAGGTGGTTTCACAGCAGCTGGGCTGGCAGCAGGGCTGGCAGC